GCGAATATATTCACATCGTTCCAACTTCGATTTGTTGTGACAACACTGAAGAACTGGTATGATTAGTGGGGAAAAATCTACGCAAAAATCTTCGAGGTATTAGGTACATGCAGCCATCGTCGGATGAAACGCGTCACACGTAGTCGAAATATATGCAAAGCAGACCAGGCACAAGGGAACCAATAAACCACTTGACGGTCTTCCCTAATCAGTGAGCATTCACCGGAAAAACGACCAGGCTTCATGCGAAAAACTGATAATCATGTGCGTTGAAGATCCATGCGGCCCCGTAATGCAACACCTTCATCCCAGCCGAGCTCTTTCCCAGTGCATGCGAGGAAAGACAGAGCCAACATCACTGCAACTGTTAAATCGCTGCGTATGGATTATTCCTGCTGTTAGCGACCTCCAAGTTTAGCGCAAAAACGCATGGTTGCACCAGCTAGTCTGGTGGGTAAGAATACTAAGGCTTACTCGGGAGCCAGGAAAGCTTGGAGGTTGAAATTTTAAGGCGATGCTCCCTGTTCAACTACGTATAGACAATGAAACTCTCGGACTTTAAGGAAGAATTTTTGTGAACGAAATAAAAACTAACTTTTTCCGTCCGACGCTTGAAACTGGTGAACTGAGGAGAATCCGAAGCAATTTGTGGACGATGTCATAATTTCTGGCAAGCAGTACCGCAAGAAGTACAGTGATACACCGCAAAACCAGTAATGAATTGCAGTAGCTGAGCTTCATCCAGTACCATAAACCGGCCTGAAAACACATCTTTTAGCAGAAACTTGCCAAAAAAACTCGGCCGCAAGGCAACAACACACGAATTCCGCAAAACCAGCCTCCAAGAACACCATTCCCGCCCCTTCCCTACACCACTATGAATAAAAGCTAAAGAAAGCAAAAGCAAATAAAAACTGAGAAAAAGGAAACACAAAGAAAATAAAAAAGACTCAGCAAAAGGGAAAATTTATGAGTGGAAATTGCCTTACAAAAACCCGTCGCAGCCAAACACCCGACTCGGCCAGGTCGGAAGGCAAGTTGCGATGGCCGACACTAGAAAATCAGCAACTACTAAAACTCGGCTTGGCTCGGTTCGGCTAGTATCATACATTATTTGCGAAAAATTTTTGCTAGCGACGGGTAGGGTTACCCTAGGGCATGTGGGGGAGTTCGGTCGTTTTCCTGGTGAATGCTCGCTGACGGGGAGAGACCGTCAGGTGTTTTATTGATTTCC